ATTTTAACAATGTAATTAGCGTCTTAAATTAAATTTTATGGTTTCTTATGCGCACTTGCAAATAAAATTGGGATTAAGTTGAAATATATATCTGATTTTATCTTTTTTATTTTAAATTATTAGGTAAAGACAAAGGTCTAATTTGACTTTGTGCTTTTCAAAAATTTGACAGCCAGTGGGCAAACAGATCCAATGTATCATTTTTAATTTTAAAGGAATTTCACGAAATAATATCTGCATTAATCAACCAATGCAAAATATAATTTCATGAATACATTTTTACAGAAATAACACTGTATATAACCTTCACCTGATGTTTCTCAGAAATAATCATCAGCGTAGTTGGAATAACTAATGTAGTATTAATTTTTTGTAAAATGGCTTTTTAAACTGAATTAACATTTTTATTTACTTTTTTTTGAATTTTGAAAATTGTATTAGTTTGAAAATTCCTTATATATGGTGTTAGTCCTTTTACAGACTATAAATATATATTATATAGTCTTACCGTATAAAACATTGCCACACTTCCTATCCTTTACCAAGACTTTTCAGTTAACAGATATGCTTAATCTTTAACTGTTTCGAAATAAGAGAAAATGAATTTAAACCACTTTCTTTAAAATAAGCGGTTTTATATCTTATCCATTTGAAATGCTGAATAATCTGAACTATAATAAATTAATAATATATATTATAATAATCATAAATATGTATAGAGTAGCGTCAGATTATATATATATATATATATATATATATATATATATAATACGTTGTCGTGGTATATTTTTAATTCTAGGTACTTTGAACCGGTGCTTACATAGGGGCTTTTAATAGATATTATTCATTCAAGAATGTTTACTATCATTGGCATTCCATTCTTCATGACTCGGTGAATGCGATCGTTTCTCAGAACGTCCGTTTTATGACACTTAATTATAAGAGGAAGTACAAACCGGATTATTTTCCATAAGACTTTTCTTTCGACTCATAGTTGAGAATTTTTTACGAATCCTCGGATAATAAAAACATTAATCAGGTGCCATTAATAAATGTCGATGTGTTTACTTACACATTATAGTAATTACACAACCGTAAAAATATGTATTGTGCGATCTCGAATGCGAAAAGAGAGAAAACAACAACGAATCGTTCGCAATCAATTTTGCAAAACCGGTTAGTTAAATCGTATGTCAGTTAAAATACTGTTAATTAAAATATTTTATATTGTAATATTTACCTCAATGTCTTCAGGTCTCAGGAGACAAACTATAGAAATGGCCATCACTCGAGTTTATATATCTTCGGGTACAACTTGGCCCATTTTCTCAGCGAACTGAAAAGCTTTGCTGTAAAAATATATTTTTGATATAATAATTATTTTGATTTCCATAATAATTTAACATAATGGAATAAAATTAAAATTTATTATTTCAGGCTACATTAATGGTTAAATTTCTATTTCTACCTTCAGTTATTATGAAAATTTTAATTATGTAAAATTATTTGGTAATATGGCTTCTATATTAAGGTGACCCGAGTTTTTCTAAAAGCAACATTTGTCCCGAATTGTTCTTTTTGGTTTTCAAAAAATATAGGTTTTAACTAAATCTGCGCTCTTACTTGATAATATAAGATTTAAACTTTCATTTTCACTTTGACTAATAAACTAACCAACACCACCCCTCCCCCGTTCCAGGATTAACGTAACTACAAATTGCCATCCTGGTTTTGACATAAAATATGGTCACCTTACCTATATATTACCAATAATGGTACTATCATATATATTTTATATGAAAAACATTTTTACATTATTTACATTAGTAAATCGCGATTTAAAACAAATCCTCTCCGAAGAAGTAGCACATGCCCAAAAATGTTCAAAACTATACTTTGAAACATATCACAAATATGGATAGAACTTTTAGTTATTTCTTATTCTTCTTGTTTATATTATATATTTTATCATTTTTTACAATTTCCAAACTATTAGTAACTAGTGGTGTATGGCATCGTGCCTTAAGACAAATTGCTGAAACTTTCCGTACCTTAATGAATTATTCGAGGAATATTAAATATTTTCAAATTGATAATTATAATTAATATAACTTTCATTATTCTTATTTTATAAAAATTAAATAAAACTTAATCAATCGGATTTAAAATGAAGAACATTGTCAAATATTTCTAAGTATTTAATAAGAACTTTAGCTAGAATTAGAATTAAAACCGAATTATTTTTCGATATTCTAAAAAAAAAATTTTGAAAAATAAAAAAAATTGGATTAAAAAAAATCTTTCCCCAAAGCAATCTTTTCGTCAACACAAGCAGAAAGTTTTTTTAAATCATTCGAATCGGATGCTTAGTTCTTTCAAAAATTGCCATTTTTTGCACCTTTAGCTCTATATCACCGAAACGGCTAGACGTGCCTTTGTCAAAATCTAATCACCACTTCTTCCCATAATTACGAATCGAATTTAAATCGTTTTTTAGATCATTCAAATCGGTTGATGCGTTCTTCACTTTCTGCTTCATATCCCCGAAGTCGCTGATCCTGTCTTCGTCAAAAACTTATCAGCACGTCTCCTCATCAATAGGAATCGAATGTTTTTGAACCATTCAAATCGGTACATCCGTACGCTCGAAATCGTCGACGAAAAATTGTCTCGACACATACACACCCACACACATACAAACGCATCCATTTTTTCTGAGGTATGCCAAAATGTTCAGAAACCTTTAAAACGTAATGATATGCAAAAATTTTATTACCGATTTTTGGCCCATTACTATAACTTACTCTACGTGAAGTTAATAATAGCGCATTCTGGATTATTATTTAGTAAAAGTTTTCTTAAAACGTTTAATAGCACCATTTCTGGAACAGAATTCCAGTTATTTGGTTGAAAATCGTAATTTAATAAAATTAGACGTTTTTAATTAAGTCATTGTTGAATATTGGTACGACTAATTCCTCGTATATTGTAAAATTTAAATACATATGTAAAGTTAACTGACGATAATATAATATATTACAAGAGAAAGCTGCAGAAGATATTATTTTAAGACATAACGTTAGCAAAATTACTTATACCAAACAACAAAGTTATATACAACTTAAAAATGTTACATTCAAGAGTCGGAACAACTATATGACATAATATGCAAATTTATTATGATGTTTCTCTATATTAGAAAGCGAGCTCGTTCGCAGGTCTTTTCGCAGTTAAAATACAAATGTATATCTCTATTATTATATTCATCACTCAATTTAAGCTAATAATAAATCTCTATTTCCGTTTATACTTTTTTGTAATGAATTGTTGTAACCGCTAAACTCTATATCATATCAATGACGCATTTCCGCACAGACGCAACAGGCGCTTGTCTAGCGCACGATGACACAAACTTATCAAGTTATTCCCTTTAATTAATTGTCGAGTTGATTTAATAAAATATCATAACGAATGTTTTGATGATCAAATCGTGTCAGTTCACAAAATTAATTGCTTTGCGAAATCCATCAAATCAATAATAGTTTCTGAAATGAATAATAAAATATTTTTCTACTAGAGTTTGATTCAATCTTTGATGCACGAAAATAATAAATAAATTGAATATTAATTTGAAATATTAACTTTTATTCCTATAGAGTAAGTTATAGTAATCGCAAAAAAATCTAAAATGATTTTTTTATATATCTTTACGTTTCAAAGGTTTCTGAACATTTTGGCATACCTTACGATTAGAAAAAATGGATGTATGTGTGTATGTGTTGGTGTGTGTGTGGGCGGATACAAATTTTCTTCGACGATTTCGAAAACACGGATCAACAGATTTGAATGATTTAGAAAACATTCGATTCGTATTTATGGGGAGAGAGTGATTAGTTTTTGGTAGGTCCAGCTGCTTCGAAGATACGGGGCAAAAAATGGCAATTCAGTTTTTGAGACAACGGAGCGACCAATTATGATGATTCAAAAAACATTTTACTTGTATTGACGACATGAAGATTTGATTGCAAAAAGCTATTTGGTGGTCAAATATGATCATTAGCCATATGCACATCAAATTATCAGATATTTTATAGAGATTTTAATAATAAGTACAATTTTGTTTACATTTCTATGGGTTTCGTATCTATGTTTATCTGTTCGACTACGACGCGGCGGTGCTTTTGAAGAAATTTTCAAAATATAAAAAAATCAGAATTCTATAAAATCAAATTCTCTCAAAGTTTTCGAAAAATTTTAACGCTTTTTTAAAAAAATATATTTTCTGTACGGGAAGTTTCAGCAATTTTCCCTAAGGCACGATGCCATGTACCACTAGTTAATCATGTTCTATTGAAATAGGTTGACGTAGGTAGTGTTCAGTATGAAATTATTGTAACATAATAATAAATCTACGCGAGTGGCCTTATGTGGCTCGATAGAATTACCTTGATCTCCGTATACGTCTAAGAAGTTTCCAATGATCGGATAAGCTCTAGGCCCCGGAATATCTTTAAGTGACTCTGCATTGCATTTTTTTTCAATGAGAAAATGTAGAAGACACAAACAAAGTATGATCATCAAAGCGGCGAAAGAAATCGTAACCAGATCCATTGTCGCAGATCTTAAATCGCTCACTTCACAATAAACGGTTCAAACACAAACACTTGAGTAGTCGTCTTTATTAGCGTACACTGTCCACGAAAATTTCGGTCGCTCGTCTATTTTCACCAACGAGCCATGTCATCGAGTCTTCGAACAGTATTGACAGTTGGAAATCTTCGGCTGTACGGTTTAACATTTCACTTACACGAGTAACCGGTTTGTCGGAACCGTGCCATATACAATAACACAAATATTAAAATCACTTAACTCTTTCCGTAGTTCGACTCGGCGTGGCGACTCGGTTAATGTAATTCCGATTCGGATCGGTTTAATGGCTTGCGCAATTTTTGTTTACTCGCGAGCGATCCCGGTGCACGTGCACTCGACCCGACCACGTGTTGAATGTGCCGATTCGGCAGTCGCTCGGATCCGCAAATGACGCTACGTGCGAACACCTTCGCTAGAACTGATGCAAACTCACAAACTCACAAACGATACAAATGATGTGCTCATGAAAAGATTTCTTAATAGTCGGCGGCGGCCCCCTCCACGGACGCTTTTATTATTACGAGAGGCACCATGGAAGCACCGCACGAGGCATAAGTCGGCCGCGGATGCGAGAGACGCGGTCAATCGCGCCAGAATATCACTCTAGAACACAACCAGAGAAAGAGTTGGCCGTGTCGTATACGTTGCATTAGATTAGTCGGAACACAGCGCGGTCTTGAGTATTCATTCCTAATAAACGTTATCACTTTCTTCTTATTATATATCGTTTATCTTATTATTAGTTAGAGTATCTCGAGTAACAGTTGACAAATGCGTATAATATTGACTAATCTATATTTTCGATTGCAAATAAAAACTAGTGGGGTGGGTGGCATCGTGCCTTAAGGCAAATTGCTGGAACTTCCCGTACCGTAACGAAATGTTCGAGGAATACTGAATGTTTTCAAATAGATTATTATAAATATTGTAACATTGTCTATTATTTATAAGAATTATATAAACTGAATTGCAAAGTTGAAATTATTTGTTTCAACAAAAAACTTTAAAAAAAAAAAAAAAAAAAAAATGGAACAAATTTTTTTTTTCCAAAATCAATTATTTTGTTAAGACAAGCAGAAAGTTTTTTGAATCATTGAAATCGGACGCTTAGTTCTCTCAAAAACTGCCATTTTTTACGCATTTAGCTCTGTATCTTCGAAATGACTGGGCTTGCCTTTGCCAAAAACTAATAAACACTTCTCCCAATCATTACTAATTGAATGTTTTTTAGATCATTCAAATCGGATACTCCGTTCTCTCAAAAATTTGATTTCTATTTTCCGCACTCTTTGCTCCGTATCTCCGAAACGGCTGGACCTGCCTTTGCCAAAAACTAATCAGCTCTTTTCCCTATCAATAGGAATCGAATGTTTTTTGAACCATTCAAATCGGTTGATCCGTGCGCTCTAAAACGTGACTGGAAATTTGTATCCACACATACATACACACACACACACATACACACACACACACACACACATCCATTTTTTCTGAGAAATGTAAAAATTTTCAATTCCGATTTTCGGCCCATTACAATAACTTACCCTATGGGAAGTTAACTAGTGGTGCTGGAATTTTGCGTACCAAAAATTAAGAATTTTTAAAAAAGTTTCGAAATATATTGAAAACTGAAAAAAATAGATTTCTAATGAAAAAATTTACCTTTTTGAAAAATTTGAATTTTTTTGTACTTTGAAATATTTTGTAAATTTTAAACTATTTTTTTCGTGAGCGCCGCGTTGCAGTCTCACGGATAAACATTGGTACGGAACCGACAGAAATGTATTTTTTCTTATTATTAACTTCTCGAAGAAGAAGTTTATGTTTTCATAAAAAAAATCAGTTTTGCAAATTTTATGTTTTCTCGACGTTTTAAGCCATTCTGAATAGAATGAGACTAAATTTGGAAAAAGTATGTTGTGGGTGTGTGTGTATGTCAACAGATTTTTTGCCGTAAATCGACGTTTTCTCAAAAACGGCTGGACCGATTTCAAAAATTTAAAAACCATTCGATTTATCTCGATGAGGACTAGTGTTTATCAATTTTGCGCGACGATCAGCCAAAGCCGTTTCTTTGTAAATAGCAGAAAAGTGAAAAATTTGTCGTCCACGTCTTAGCTCTCGAATCTGAATCGATTTTAATAAATCAAAAACTTTTCGAGAGATATTGATTGGGATTGATACTGATCAGTTTTAAATAAAAATCTACCGTGGGTTTTCTTGTAATTACCTGTTGAAAATAAAATTTAGGCCGATTTTTATGAATTTTTTTTGCCGATATAAATTATAGCCTTATAAAACATACTAAAATATTACGGTCTTACGACAAGTAGTTTAATGTTAAAAATTCATCAAAGTTTTAGAAAATATTATAGTCATTTGTTTAAAAAGTTGCTTTTGTGATGTGATGAGTTAAACATTATCAATTCAATATGATTTAAAAGAAGTAGTTGTGTATGGCATCGTGCCTTATGGCAAATTGCTAGTATTTTCGTAACGTAACGAAATATGTCCCAGAAATATTAAATGTTTTCATATAGATTATTATAAATACTGTAACATTGTCTAATATTTATAAGAGTTATATAAACTGAATTACGAAGTTAGAATTATTCATATAAAGTATATAAGTGAGCTTTATAACTTTAGCCAGAATTAAAATTAAAATCTGAATTAAAATGAAAAAAAAATGGAAAAAAAATTGGAATAATTTTTTTTTAGATCATTAAAATCGGATGCTGCGTTCTCTCAAAAACTCCATTTTCATTTTCTGCCCTCTCTGCTCCGTATCTCCGTAACGGCTGGACCTGCTTTTGCCAAAAACTAATCAGCACATCTCCCTATCAATAGAAATCGAATGCTTTTTGAATCATTCAAATTGATTGATCCGTGTGCTTGAAAACGTGGACGAAAAATTGTCCAAAAAATTCCATACAAACATACACACACACGTCCATTTTTTTCTGAGGTATGCCAAAATGATCAGAAACCTTCAAAACGTGAAGAAATTTTTCAATTTCGATTTTTGGACGATTAAAATAACTTATCCTACGGGAAGTTAATAAGCTACAATATTAGGGCATACGAGCACGTGTCTGAGCAATATAATTAATATAATTACAGTTAATTTAAATGTGTTTGAGAAAAATCTATTTGCAAAGTTTAGATTTAATTGAAAGCGATAAATTTATTTTTGAAAGAAACAGTTGAGAATTTTATCTAAATATCTAAATTTCAATTTCGATTGATTAAGTCAATTCTTACACATTTCGGGAAGTTCATGCAACTTGCCTTAAGACTAAATTCCACTTTCAATTAGTATATTTATAGTTTTTGGTTCGGGAAGTTCTAGCAATTTGCCTTAAGACACGATGCCATGTACCACTAGTATTTCTTTTATTCTTGACAAATTATAATATTTATAAAAATGATCTTCATACCATTATAATCTATTTATACGAGAGTGGTAAATATAAGCGAGTTGACTATTATGTGACAAGATTATTCTTGAAATTTAATTAATTAATTAATGTTATGGCATGTGCTCTTCCCACTATTGAAAAACATTGTTACGAGAACGGGCATTCTTCGAGCAGCGTCGCTGAACCTTAAACGTCGGCTATATTGCCGGCTGTCACGTTCCGGCTCGACTTTCTCCGCTTGCGACAAAAGCTCCGCGAACTTCTGCACGTGCTTCGGGACAAATACCAATGCGAGGGGCACTCTCGCTGCATAGCTCACGCATTACACAAATCTATGCACGATCACTATGGTCGATATGTTTTTGATTTTAGTATTCATAAATGATTCATTTCTGAAAATTTCATGGCCAAAATTACACAGGTCTTATTCAAAAATTGGCTAGTTTGTAAATTTTTCGTGACTTTATAGCGTTAAGAAAGCCACAATAGAGTCAGATGTTGAGAGTCGTTGTCACAGTGCTGTCGAAGTAATCAGTTCAAACACGTAAAAACTTATTTTGACAGTGGCTTTTTCGTGTTTTTTAGGGACTTGTTTGTTGATAATAACAAAGTAATTATTAACTTCCCGGCAAGTTAAAGTAATCGCAAAAAAATCGAAAATGAAATTTTTTATTTATCTTTACGTTTCAAAGGTTTCTGAATATTTTGGCATACCTTAGAAAAAATGGATGTATGTGTGTGTATGTGAGTGTGCGTGTGTGTTTGTGCGGATACAAATTTTCGTCAACGATTTCAGGAACACCGATTAACCGATTTAAATAATACAAAAAACATTCGATTCATATTGATAAGAAGACGTACTGATTAGTTTTTGGCGAAGGCAGATCTAGCCGTTCCGAAGATACGGGGCAAAAAGTGTCAAAAATGGTAACTCAGTTTTTAAGAGAACGAAGCGTCCGATTTTAATAAATCAAAAAAACATTTCACTTGTATTGTCAAGATGAAGAATTGATCAAATTTTCATGAAGGCAGATCTAGCGGTTTCGGAGATCTGATGAAAAAAGTAAAAAAAAATGCCATTTGGCGGTCAAAAATGATCATTAGACATATGCACATCAAATTATCAGATATTTTATAGAGATTTTAACAATAAGTTAAAACAATAAATTAGTTATAACAATAGTTATAACAATAAATTTTGTTTACACTCCTATCGGTTCCGTAACAATGTTTATCCGTTAGGCGACGACGCGGCGCTTACGCGCTTTGACATTTCGTCTCTCTGCTGTTAAAGGAGTACATTTGCTTTAAAAAAAAGTTCAGAATTTCCAAAATAGGTCAAATAGGTTCATTATTTTGATAAAGAATTTTTTTTTTCAAAAAAAAGTATTTTTTGTCAAATTGATAGTTTCTCAAAAATCTGATATTTTTTTAAGTAATTGTTTTTAAAAAATGTTAATCGTTTTTAAAAAAATAATAATTTTTGGTACGGGAAGTTCCAGCAATTTGCCTTACGGCACGATGCCATGCGCCCTACTAGTTGCTATTAAAATCAATGAACTTATGAACTGGTACTAATGATTTTTATCAATTTTATGGCAGTAATCAGGTGTTTGATGGAATTGATCTAATAACCGACGAAAGAATCCATCGGTAATAAGAAGAGC